ATTTAAAAATTAATATGATTTCATTATCTTGACATTCATTATTCTCATGATTACACTCCTGACATGTTGAATGATTTCAAATTGTCATGAAACTGATACAGTAGTGTTTATTCACCATTAGTAAGGTACTGTATCAATTTCATAATGATCTGTATTGTAGATGTCATTGTCACATCCCTGTAGGTATCAAGTGGATCAGCCATGTACCATGTATGATATGGATGAATGTCAAATTGATATTATTGTATTTCATTAACATATATAGATGTATTGGAAGTGAATTGAAGTGGTATAGATTTCTATCTTCAATGTTAGTATAGGTCAGTTGACAAGTTGAATAGTAAATATCCTGAAATGATACCAAAGTATTTGAAATTGATATATATTGTTATTAACATGATTAATAAGGTGATATATTGATTTGAAATGATTTTGAAATGTTTTTATTGATTTTCTAATTGTCTAATCTATTATATGAAATTAACTTATAATAGTTATTATAATGATGTAATATTATGTTATAATATGATTATATATTCAATTTGGAGTATATTGATATATAATATATTGATTTATAATGAGTATTTATTGAGAAAATTAATTAAGATGAATAAAAGTCAAAATGTCGGGTCTGACCTTAGTCGTGGGTTTGGGTTTGGGTTTGGGTTTGGGTTTGGGTTTGGGTTTGGGTTTGGGTTTGGGTTTGGGTTTGGGTTTGGGTTTGGGTTTGGGTTTGGGTTTGGGTTTGGGTTTGGGTTTGGGTTTGGGTTTGGGTTTGGGTTTGGGTTTGGGTTTGGGTTTGGGTTTGGGTTTGGGTTTGGGTTTGGGTTTGGGTTTGGGTTTGGGTTTGGGTTTGGGTTTGGGTTTGGGTTTGGGTTTGGGTTTGGGTTTGGGTTTGGGTTTGGGTTTGGGTTTGGGTTTGGGTTTGGGTTTGGGTTTGGGTTTGGGTTTGGGTTTGGGTTGGGTTTGGGTTTGGGTTTGGGTTTGGGTTTGGGTTTGGGTTTGGGTTTGGGTTTGGGTTTGGGGTTGGGTTTGGGTTTGGGTTTGGGTTTGGGTTTGGGTTTGGGGTTGGGTTT